GTCCTCGAACTAAAATTTTGCTGTTGTGATCATCGTTGTTGTTATTATTATTTATTATTATTATTATTATTATTATTATTATTATTATTATTTCGATTATCTTATCGTACCTTTTTTCTTTAAACAAACGGCAAACGGCATCCAGTGTTCGAAATAACCCGGACGTGGTACGACGAGGGTTAATGACGCTTTCGACATCACTCTTCAATATATGGATCGCAGTTTCCTCATTTTTACTGTTTCTTTCACTGCTCTTCTATTGCATTGTTACGAAAGTAATTTCGGTTTTCCAAATGGATAGCTTGCAAGAAAAACAGAAATTACTTATACAACAACTCAATAGCTTTGGAAAGAAATTGTAAAACCAGGAATCAAAACAAATGCATTCTTTTTAGATTGAGCCATTTTACTAATTTCGCTGTATCTGTTGTGAAATCTTGTTCTCCGTAACGTTTTTATTTCGTCGCGGATTTATTTCATTTGTATGATTCGAAAGATTCTAGTAGCCCGTTGATAATAATTATAGTAATAATCCTGCAATTACTTTTGATACATGGAAAGCGAAACAAACAAACAATACTAACAGAGCAATTCAAAAGAAATAATCGTATTTCTAAGGCAGTTCATCGTGCAAATCGGAGTCTAGGATACGTTATGCATTTCTGTAAGCATTTCAATGATCTCCGCGTTCTTAAGACCTTATATTACTCTTTAATTATACTTCATCTGGAATACGCAATGTTATTTAGTCGCCTTATCCAGGCAAATACAAACGACTTATCGAATGATCTCAATATAAATTCCTGAGATTCGTCTTTCGTATCTCAAAACTTCCTATGTGGCTCTATAAGGATGACAAGTCTGAATTTATTTAGACTTTTAGCCAATTTTATAATAATAGATACTTGAATTGCGAAATTGATTGAAAGAGTCTTCGTAACTTCAGCAATTTTTAAATAAAACATGTGTAATCGTTTGTTTCGACTGACATGGTAGATTTAATGGTAACACTAGATTGACGAAGCACTGAAAGCAGTTATTTTATATTAGTTTATAAAAGTAACTTAAGAGACATCTACTCTGATTTTTATATTGAATATTTATATATTGAATAAATAACTGATAAATGTATCTTTATAATCTGAATAATCGTTAATACTAATCAGAAAGTCACAAGTTACTCACTCTTAGTGGTTTAATGTTTAGCTAAGATGATTTAGCCGAGGTTTAATGATAAAAAGAAAATGAGAATATAAAGAATGAGAAAATATATAAATATGAGAAAATGTTATAGAAAGATTATGTTAAGTGTTAAAGAAAATATTAAACAAATTATTATCGAACATGCATGCTCAGTAGTGGAGAAAGTGTTCAATGAAGTAGAATAAGAACTATTAGAGGAGAGAATTGTACTTTCATTCCTAGACTTTGGTAACACAAGAATAATATTTTGCTTCGATTTAGAAGAAATGAATAACATTCGTATTTAGTATATCATGTATGATATCTTCATGTATGATATCATGCCACTTATTATTGTATTGCAGAGGGTTAACCCTGAAACGCTTCACGTATTAGAAGGTTTCAGATCTGCTTAAGGGATGGTCATTTTGTATTCACGTAAGAAAAACTGCCACAAATATTATCTTTTCCATTCGAGGTACATTTATTTACACAATACTATTAAATAATACATTTAGGTACTTACGAAAATAAAATACGAAAAATATATACAGGAACATCGTTAGAACAAAAATACATGTTTAAAATTATCTAAACATCTTTTTTACCCTTTTTTAAGCGTGTCAGGGTTACCTTTGAACGGCGAACATTTTTGAGGATTTATGGCAGCCACGAATAGACACAACAAAATCTTTACGATTAATTTGTATATCATTAAAACCTCTTTGATCAGAGCAAAGTCTGAAAGTCATTTTATTACTTTCCATATTAATAGTTAATGATTACATACGATTGCCACAAAATTAAAACTAATATGAAATGTTTGTAATTCTGAATTCAAATGGACCGGCACCAGTGATCCCTTATCCGTTAATAAGGAAACAGATAAATGTCTATATAGCTCTTGCATCTCGCAATCAGTGCAGACAGTTTCTATTACCCACAAAAATACTCTGTTCACTCATGAAATGACCGAGCAGCCGAGTACAGTAATTTCTCCCTAATTCGCGCTCAGACTGCGCGCAAAAATGGACAGTTTGGAAAGAGAAAGATACGATTACTCGAGCCTTGCGTCTCGTTTGTATAATTATTGACAATCGATAACCATATCCTCTTCCTCTCCTCGTCCCAAATTATCCATTTTTGTGCGCAATCCGAGCGCGAATTAGGGAGAACTTACTGTGTTCCGCGAACAATCGACTATAGGAACTATAACCTAGTTTAACACTCGCACTCGGACTCGCGATCTTTCGGCATTCGGCAGACATCCGATGCGCGGAAGTGCTGGATAATGTTACGGGGGATAGTGGGCGTCGTCCGGTGGTGTCTTGTGCCGCTGAAAGGAGCACAGAAGGGTGGTGTATCGCGGCGGTCGAAGGCGCAAAATAAAGCTCCGACAATCGACTGCGGGGGCGAAGTTTAAAGAGCCCGGGGTCTCCCTCGGACCGCTCTGGGAGACGCGGAGACTTTGTCGGCACGGCAGTCTCGGTGTCAGCGAACCAATCCTTTGGCTCCTCGCTCGACATTCTAGCCGGTGCTGAATGGAGATCACACGGGGTTCCCACTGTATCGAGTTACAGGCGAAGGGAGACGCGCAACGAGAAGAACGAGCAAGAAGAAGCACTACGGCATTATGCGTTCGAGGGAGAATACGAATCCATTCACCGGCAATCATCCGTTCACCCAAGCGTTCTTGCCTCGCCGCCGTCTCGTCCGTTCATTCATCCTCTCCGTTAGCGTCGCGTTCGTAGAACTAGTTCGCGAGTAAATCCGCGCAGACACGGGTGAAACTGGCTGCGGGTCGCAGCAGCGAAATCACCGCGAACGATCGAGGACCAATATCGGGCCCGATCGAGCGGAACGATCGCGACGGATGATCGAATAGAAAGTCCGAACGCGAGCGTCGCAGTCCGATCGGTGCTCTCTCGATCGCTTGATTCGGCCGCGCGGAATTGACCGAAAGCGATGGATTCCGGCGATTCGAGCCGGGAAAACAAACGCGCGGCGCTGCACGACGGCGAAGCGGCAACGGAGTTGAACGGCGCGTAACGCTCGCAATTCGTGGCACGATAAACGCCGAGGGAGTTACCTACGCAATATCATTAGCGGTCACGATAATGGGCTCGATCCTCGGGCTACGATCATTATACAATATCGGCGCGGCGCGATGCCGCGCGGATCGAACGCTAAAAACCGGCGCGCATCGACTCGCGGGCAACGTAACTTACGAGCGTTGCGTAGAGACGGCGGCCGCGGCACACCACCCTGCTATTACGTTACGCTACAAGGTACTTTATCGCATTAATCTGCCGGGTACGTGCTCGCGATTTTTCTGAAACTTTCTCACCTGGTTTTTAATCGAAGCCATAACTCACCGGCCGGCAGATACACACCGAGCGCCCGTTGTTTGACTTGCGCAGCCGATAACCGGCTATTTTCTAAGGCCCGTCGTCGAAATTGAATTAACCGCGCCGCGTCGCGGAGAGGAGGGAGGGGAGAAGGAGGCCGGGCCGCGTATTTGTCGCGCGGCGGCGACAATGTCGGCCACGATTTGATAATTGAACTTTAATCGACGGGACTCCCGCCGGCGAATAATCGGCGCGGCTCTGCGGGCATGGACGCGTTTAACGCCCGCGGCCGCTTCCTACCCCGTCGCGCACGCGATACCTCATTAACGAGATTGCCGCGATTACTTCGGACCGCGCGACTCCGGGACTCGCGGCGGAGAACGCACCAGGAATTCCATTAACGCTCGCGGCGGGCATGAAAAACGGACGAGGCGCGGCGGGTCCGGCGGTGCATACGCGCGCGCAACCCCTCCGAGATTACCATTGACTGCGTAAAATCGACAAACCTGTTCCCCGGGCCAGCGCGCCGCGTCGCGATACGCTAATACCTCGGACCTGGTCGTCGTTATCTGCCTGTTCGCCTCCCACGCGTGACCTCGAACAAGTATCGGCACAGGGGGAAACGAGCGAGCGACGGGGAAAATAAAGGATCGGCCGGCGGGAGGGGGGAGGGCCGGGAGCGGACGGCAAAAAGGCCGACAACAACGATAAAAGCGGGTGGCAGGAGGGGAAAGGAGCAGCGGGAGTCGAGAACCGGAGGAAGCGGAGAAAGAAAGAGTAGCAACGAAGAAGACGAAGAAGACGAAGAAGAAGAAGAAGAGGGAGAGGAAGGCGATGGCATAAGACGAAACGAAGAAGAAGAAGAAGAAGAAGAAGATGATGATGTGGCGACGACCGCGGCCGCGGCGGCGAGCCCACGTGATCGCGGCGCGTTTTAATTGGTCGGGAGTGTGGTCGGCGGCGCGATGGAGGGAGCTCGAGGCTGATAGGGAGAGAAAAAGAGGGAAAGGAAGACGGAGAGGGTTCGTTAGGGTTGCCACGAGGATTAGACAATCGCGAGGTTGTACGAGGAGGATCGTTGCGAGGGCGGGCCGCCGCCTCTGCGCCCCACCAGCAACACCTTCCAGGATGGAAACACACTTGTGGAGTGTTCCTGCGGGACGTGTCTGGCCACCGCCACCCGGCGAGCTCTCTCCCTGCACGCACTCGCGTATCCGAACACCTACGTATGCTAACGGCGGCTGCAGGGGAGGGCAGAGACGGCCGAGAGAGACAGAGAAGATAGAGACAGAGAGAGAGAGAGAGAGCGAAAGAAAGAGACGGCGGAGAGACGGCGAAGTAGGAGAGGAGCCGGCGAACAGAGAAAGAGAGAAAGAGGATCCGCCTCCGACGAGGCGCTCCTCTCCTACGTGAGCAACGAAAAAGCTCAGTTATAATTGTTGCACGCCGCGAGCTGCACCTCCAGTCCCTGCGCTTAATTGCAGCCTCCTTCCGCGTCGCAGCGGACACGCATCGCGAGCCAGCATCCGACGCGGCGAGCCTAAACGCGAGAGGATCGCGTGGATTCCGCGCATCCACATCCGCATCCGCATCCGCATCCGCGTCCTCGACCGACCTCCTTGTCTCGGGGACCGAGCTCTCCTCCTCGGCGCTGCCTTCTGCGGCCAACAGCCACAGAAATTACTGTGATTACCAGGATATACGAGGGGCCAAGGCAACCTTCGAACGGACTACCGATGCCGGGGAGCGCCTCCGCCTCACGATCGACCACCGACACCGGATTCTCTCGATACGCCAAGGATCTATAACGGGAGCCGCGATCTCGCCTCCTTTCAACGCTCGATCCTGAACCGTGCTGACATCCTCGCGCAAAGAGAGAGAGAGAGAGAGAGAGAGAGAGAAAGAGACAGAGAGAGAGAGTGCCGACCGGACCACGAGACATGCCCATTCATAACGCGAGCGATCCTTTAATCCCGTGGCCGAGATAGAAGCGTCGCGCTCTCGTGTGTAATTCCTCCGTTACGGAGCTGCTACGGTTACCATCGCATCGGACTGAACCTATAACCTGTACAATATGAACTGCGCGTACCAGTACTCGCATCCGGCTCACCCGCAAAACGTCATGACCATGCCGCCGACTGCTATCCAGCAACCGCATCATTCCACGGATACCGAGTACCTAGAGGTAAAGTAACGACAATCACGTTAGCACGACCCTTTTGCCGCCGAACAACGACACGTCGACGAAGTTCTTCAGAGAACGTCGTCTTCTTAATACCTTTGGAACCCCTCGCGCTACGATCTGTTTCGCAGCCGCGTCGACGAGAATCTCTTTGGCCTCGAATGAATTCGTACACGATAAAGACAATTCCTCGTTATCGCATGGCAATTTGCACTTTGACGTTTAAATATTGATAACAGAAGAACAGAATTAGATTTCTATTTGAAACGGATAAATAACGTCCATATTTGTTGGATCATGTCCGAAGTCTTCGAGTCTGGCGCGATATTATAGGACAAGTGGTTGCGTTTAAACAGTGATAAACATCAGCTTCGTTTCTTCCTCCTTATCGAATCGTCCAATGATCAGCGTTTACGAAATCGTTTCAATCGCTTTCCGGTACCTTGCCAAGCCCCGCGTCGAACAGGTTTCGTGTATTTCGGTCAGGTACACGCGACTCCCTTGATCGGCGCTAACGGGGTTAAGCAAAACGCAGCGGGTACGCGGCGCGTCGGGTCGCCGCCGATGTTCGAGGGAATCGGCGACATCTGCTCCCCTCTGCGACGACATCCTGGGCGGATCGGCGCCACCCTTCGTTAATTGTTCATCTCCCGGCTGCGAAAGAGGCCAATGCGAGAGGCCCCGCGCGACGTACCCGTTCTCCTTAACGCGCTGCCAATTCATCAGCGCTCGTTCGCAATTCGATTTTCACGATTGCCAATCGGATCCGGCAATTGAATTCGAACAAAGGCCCCCGCGCTCCGCCGCGTACCCGCGTCCAATTTATTTCAAGAACCGAACGGAACGCGTCGCGGCCTCGCGAAGCGACGTCGTCGCGTCTCCGCGGCCGTTCATTAGGCGAACGACGTCCGCGGCAATAATAAATAGGAGGCGATCGGCTCGCGCGAAAGGTCCGAGGGGGGTGGAGGAGGGAGGGTGAAGGGGGGCCCGTCGACTTTCACGAGACTGCGGCGAACGAGCGAGCGGACGAGCGGAAAAATCGACGGGAACGAGAGGGGTAACGAAAGTGCGAAAGAGAGACGTAGCTGGGGGATATTAATATAAGGGCTCGATACGTAATTATAGTGATTACCGTATTGCCAGGGGGCGGACGAGGGCGTCCCTCAGTTTGCACGTCATTTTGCAATCTCAACTTCCAGCGAACATGCCCGCGAATTTGTCGGCGGTCCTTCGCCGGGCTAATTGTTTCCCCTTTTCCACGCTAATTCGTCGCGCGTACCAGCATACTTTTTCGTCGCGGGCCCGCGATTTCCGGACACGGATCGACCGGTCGATCGATCCGGATGTATGCGACGGTATCTTGAGCACCGGCGACCGAAGCATTTATGATTTCGTTTCATTTCATTTACGACGAGACGTAAGAATACATTTTTCCTCGACCGCCAGCGAAATTCCGGAGACATATAAATAGCATTGCTCATCGAAGCACGCCGACTACGCGCGAAAGCTTTCGCGCGACCAGCCCGAACCGCATCGCGTCAACGGGCCCAGGCCTCTGGCTCGCGTAAGAAATGAACGCGGCGGATGCTGAGCAAAGAAAGCGCGGATTACGAATCGCGACCGAAATATATCTCGTGTCCTGGATCTATTCGATCCGATGTAAAAAGTGTCCCGCGAACTCGTTCCCGGCGTGTACCGTGGCCGCGAAGCGTGCGGCATAGATCGTTGCCGTTGTTACGATGCTTTCTCGTCCGCGACCTGTAATTATTACCATTCGCGGTGATTATACTAATAACTCTTTCGCGTTATCTGCGCGCGCGGTCGAGCCGTACCATTAAACGCTCATTTGCATTGTTTGCTTGACAACGTTATGTATAACAGTCGGGATTGGCGTTTCTGTCACGGATGTTTCAGCCCCGACGAGGCACGCGTGTACCTCGTGGGACCATTTACGTAACGGAGAGAGACGGTCGACCGATTCGATCCGACCCGATCCGGCTCGACTCGACTCGTACCCTATTCTATTCGATCCGACGTCTTTCCGCGCGCCGTGAGAGCACCGGGTTCCTTGTTCGCGGATTACGCGCCGACAGAACAGCCGAGCGCCGCGTGAATTACGGAGAGGATCGGACGCTCTCCTCCCCGTGGAACACCCCATAAATCTGCTCGGCGGCGTCTCTCTATTCCGGACCACGTTGTAGACGGAACCGCGAGCTCTCGGCGAGCACGGACCGGCCAACGAGTCCGTAAATCAGTCCTAGACAAGTTTCTCCTCGCCTTGTTTCACGGCAAAACGTGCTGCTCGACCTTAAAAGCCTCAAAGAGGATGCTTCCACGGTTTCTCCGCGGCCGTGCCTCCCGGTCACCGCGCTCTCCGGCCTCGCAGAGACGAATCGCCGACAACGGTGAAAACGAGCCCAAGGGGATATTTATTTGACCGTGGCGGCTGGAAGCGGCGCTATAATTCTTCCCGGCGATTAGAACGACGAACACCGACCCCGGTGTTCCGCGCCGAGAATAGCTCGGGCCCGATCGATCCCGAATCCTGCGATCGAGGGAATCCGCGAAATTTCGCCGTGTCAACGCGTAGCCGGATCCGTAGAACCGTCCGCCATTAGAGGGGGCTAACAATCGCGTGCAGCGCGGACCGCTGCGCGGCCTATATCGTTCAAAGAATGTTTGCACGTTATCAGCGCTCTTCCATTACATACTCGACGCGAGTGTTTGATTTATGAAACGAGCATCGGAACTGGTTGACACACGGCACGCAGCTTTTTCCCGGCGTCCTCGTCGCGAGGCGAAATGGCCTCGCGGAGGGGGCGGTTCGCGGGGATACGGCCCCGCGCGGACGGGCCCCGTGCTCGAACCGTCGTTGATCGGTTCTTAATCGTTCCCGCGAATCGCCGATTTCGTGGTATCGCGCGAACGCGATAAATTATGATCACGTACGCGGCGTCGACGCGTCAAGCGCCTCGGAATCGTTCGTATTAACATAATGGCCGTTCGGCCCCGTCCCGTCCCGGCTCGATAGCGATAGACCAAACAGATAGCGAACGCGCTGGTTATTAAACTCGGAGCACCTTCTCGTCCCCGAGCAGCCTACCGGCGAGCTTACACAACGATGCGCGGCGGGAACGGGGCTCTCTCTCTCTTCCCTGGTCCCAGTCTGGTCTGGTGAATCTTCATTTTCGACGGTCCCAGCCGCTATATGCGAAGCTGGTTCCTTGGTAATTATTAGTCCATCAGCATCTCCCGATGGCCACATGGTCGTATAAGAGGCAAAGGCCGAGCTGGTCCCAACGCGGACCATCTTAGCTCCGCGAGGCCGCCCTGTCATTATCCGCCCCCGTCAGGCCCGTGGGCCCATTTCCCTTTCAACCCTGTTCACCCCCGTTCCACCCTACCCGACTATGCCAATCAGCGATCCGTCATTTCGTGGCGTCGATATCGCTCGATCGTTACCGACGGAATCAATCGTCGCTTTTCCGTCGTCTACGCGATTCCGATTTCCGTCGAATCAACGACGATCGTTTCGCCGGCGACGTCTTTAACGACATCGTTGGGCCGACATTCATTTCGCCGACGATATGCCGTTTTAATTATAAATTCAAAATAATCTTCCAGATCTACAGTATTTTTATGACTTATCGCATTTTGTGGAAGTTGAATCTTGCGACTCGTGCAACAGTCGCGGTTTTAGCAGATTTTCAAGCATAAAAAAGTGACGTTCCACTTCTTAGCAGCGCCCCAGAGTCACCGCACGAGCGCAGAGGGTTAATTAACCGATCTGCTAAGTTCGCCGACGATATTAACCCTTCTAACTCGAAGCCATTTTAATTCTAAATTCAAATTAGTCTTCCAGATATACAGTGTTTTCGTGATTTATCGCATTTTGTGGAAGTTGAATCTTGCGACTCGTGCAACAGTTGCGTTTTTTAGCAGATTTTCTAGCATAAAAAAGTGACATTACAATTTTTAGTAGCGCCCCAGAGTCACCACGCGAGTGCAAAGGGTTAATTAACCGACCTGCTGAAATCGCCGACGATATTAACCCTTCGCACTCGAAGCCATTTTAATTCTAAATTCAAATTAGTCTTCCAGATCTACAGTATTTTCATGACTTATTGCATTTAATGGAAATTGAGTCTTGCGACTCGTGCAACAGTCGCGTTTTTAGCACACTTTCAAGCATAAAAGTGACGTTACAGCTTTTAGTAGCGCCCCAGAGTCACCACACAAGCATAAAGGATTAATTAACCGAGATGAGATCGTCGACGACGTTTACATCGACGCTAATTTCGCCGGCATCGACTTTATGCCTAGTTATGTTTGCTGCCTAGATTAGGATGCTATACGATCATTCGAAGGATATATTAGTACACGAAGTAACCGTTCATATAAATATGTATAATGAACAATAAAGACGATTTGTTACTGCGCAAGGCTCGCGGAACCTCTCTCAACCGATTACTCTCCACAACTGGCCACTGTGAACGCAGGCTCGCAACATGCATAAAATATATCCTTCAACGGATAGGACACTCATATAATACTCATATTCACACCATAAATTGCATAACGGCATTCACACACGCGCGCATAAAGCACGAGCTAACAATATTATGATCGCATTATAGCAGTCGTTCGGTACCATCGGCAGGCGAACGTAAAGCGTCGGCGATTACAGCGTGTCGGTTAATTAATATCGCCGACGAAATCGGTCGAACGATGTCGGTTAAAGACATTGTCGGTGATTAGATGCGAACACCGCGATTCGCGTTCTCCTTTCTCTCTCGTCCGTCGACTCGGTGCGTGACGGCGGCGAGGCTGCGCTGCTCGCGACGATAAATCACTGGCCGCGCTTTTATCCGAAAAAAAATCTGAAAACGTTGCAGCCTGGAAGGGAACGCAACGAGATCGATCGGGGGTACGCCGTCGTTCGCACCCTCATTTGCACGATCCGAGCGGTTTGCTCTGTGAAAAGACGTTAACGCCCGGTTGCG